ATAAGATTGTAGCATCACATGCAAATGCGGTAGGAAACTGAAAGGCATATGGATGACATGTTTGGTGAAATCAGTGGAAGCGATGTAAGGTTTGTCCATTGAGATTAGAGGTGAGGTGAGAGACATTTGGGTTCATCGACCTGCCTGCACCACGCCGTCGGCAGCCAACGTATGGCCGCAACAATCAAAATCCTTCACCTACTGGGCCCTCTCGATTCCCTGTCGTCTTCTTCTTCTTTCTTCTTCTTCTTCAGTTCTCTCTGTTTCTCTCTCTCTCTCTCTCTCTCTCTCTCTCTCTCCGCCATGGCCTTTCTCATTCTCCTTTTCCTCTCCGCCTTCACTCATTCCGCCACTGCCACTCTCTCCGCCGACTACTACCGCAATTCCTGTCCTGCATTCTCTCAGATCATCCGCGACACCGTCACCAACAAGCAAATCACCAACCCGACCACCGCTGCCGCCACCCTCCGCCTCTTCTTCCACGACTGTCTCCCCAACGGCTGCGATGCCTCCATCCTCATCTCCTCCACCCCTTTCAACTCCGCCGAGCGCGACGCTGACATCAACCTCTCCCTGCCCGGAGACGCCTTCGACGTCGTCGTCCGAGCCAAAACCGCCCTCGAACTCTCCTGCCCCAACACCGTCTCCTGTGCTGACATTCTAGCCACCGCCACTCGCGACCTCCTCACTATGGTCGGCGGCCCGTACTACACCGTCTTTCTCGGCCGAAAAGACGCGAAAATTTCCAGAGCCGCCGCCATTGAAGGCACTCTCCCCAGACCCTCCATGAGTGTCTCTGAGATCATTGGAATGTTCGGCTCCAGAGGATTTTCCGTTCAGGAAATGGTGGCGTTAAGCGGCGCTCATTCGATTGGCTTCTCGCATTGCAAGGAGTTCACGTCTGGGATCTTCAATTACAGCAAATCGCCGCCCTACGACAGCCATTATAACCCTAGATTCGCATTAGGGTTACAGAGAGCTTGCGCTGATTACCAGAAGAATCCGACTCTGTCCGTTTTCAACGACATTATGACGCCGAACAAATTCGACAACATGTATTTCAAGAATTTGCAGAAGGGGTTAGGGGTTCTGAAATCCGACGGCGGATTTTACAGCGATTCAAGAACACGGCCGTGGGTGGAGAAATACGCTGCAGATGAGAGAGCCTTCTTCGAGGCGTTTTCTCGAGCAATGGTGAAGCTCGGTGGCTATGGCGTCAAAGTGGGAAACCAAGGAGAAATTAGACGCAGGTGCGATGCCTTTAACTGATCTGAATTCGTGTTTCATTCCAATTTCGATTCTATACCCCTCTTTTTGATTGTTTATGATCGATTATTATAAGATCCAAAGTAAAGTGAAGATATCGCCATTGTTCTGTTCCTTGTTCATCAAAATCATGAATGAATCTTACGAGCATTGAACTGAAATGAAATAAACAAACCCACAGATCATAATTTTAAGAAATGGAGTTCTTCAGACTCTAATGAACCAGAATGCTTTCACTTGGCATCTTCACCGGGAAGAAACAAAAAAGGAACCAAGTGAAGAAGAACAAGAAGAAAAAGGTTTATTTTCACTAATATTCACAACCCAAAATGATTTTTTAAAAAAATCCAACCTGTACAAATTCAGAACTCCGACGAGTTGGCGGAGGACCTATCCATTCCGGCGACCAGTCGACACCGAGTTTGGCTGCTGCTGGAAGAACCCGAGTCTAGCAGTTCCTCCCAATTCACATTCCCAGCTTCTTCCTCTCTGACTTTCATGGACTCCATCATCCTCTTCACCTTCTCTTGTAATCTCTCACTTCCGTTTTCCTCCACCGCCATGAAAACCTCCATTGCTCCGGCGGTTTTGGCCAGACCTTTGAACCGCAAATTACTGTAACTCAGTTCTAACAGAACCGCCACGCAACTCTCCCGTGTCGACTCGGAGTCCAACTCGTTCTCTCTTAACATCCCCACTAAACATTCCACCGCGCCGGAGTTCAACAATGCCGCACGACCCTCGAAACACGCTGCTAAATTACACAATATAAGAAAAATCCGGCCGACCATGAGGCCGGATTTCACCATCCCGAGAAAAACCGGCACCGACCCAAGTTTCACTAGCTTCGAACGGTTGCTCTGAACTTGCGATAAGTGGTACAGAGCAAGAGCCGAGTCGTGTCGGGTCTGCTCCGAGTGGGATACCAACAGCCGTATCAATGATGGCAGAGCACCCAATACGCCGATCGCCGTCTTGTTGTCGTCGTGGAGAGCTAAGCTGAAAATGGCACCGGCGGCATGTTCCTGAACCTCCGGGGAACCCGTTTTAAGAATATCGATCAAATTGGGGAGAAATCCGGACCGTACGATCTTGACCTTGTTCATATTCTCTAAGGACAGATTCACCAGTGCTGCAACTGAATTCACCTGAATGCTGCTGTACCTTGAGACGATAAGAGACCGAAGAGCAGAGAGAATCAAAGGGGAACAGAGATAAAGCCTAGTGTCCTCTCGAATTCTCGTGATTTTTCTCAGCGTAACCACACCCTCTTCGATCTCAGTAACCTGAGGGCTTTTAAGCTTCGCAAGGATCTCTTCTTCTTCAGTGGAGTTCAGAGTAGAGATCTCACTTTCAGAGGAAGAACTCGGTCGAGTCGCGAGAGGAAGGGGCAGACTCGGAACGGCGGCGACAGATTGATCGGAGCTCGAGTAGAAATGAGATTCCCGACGAGTTACATCGGTGGCGGAGTGGTTGAATCGAACCACAGGATTCTCTGCAACCCCTTGAATCAATTCGTCATCGCTTTTCCTGTGGTCTGCCATGAACTTACCAACGAGCTTTTCGGCGGAGGAGAAATCGAGTGGTTTTGGGGGTTCAGAGGAGGAGTTTCTACACCAGTTGAAAATGGTGGATTTCAGAGCCAGATTCGGGATTACAGAGGTGAAATCCGGCTTCGAACCATCTAACAAAGTCGGCTTGAAGCCTAAATCTTTACAAACTTGAACACAGGCGGCCTCGAATGTGTGGCCAGAGGAGACAATTACAGGGTCCGCCATTAAAGACCCCGAAATGGGACAGAGCAATTCTTTGGGTATTTCCTTCAATTGGGGGTTGGACGAAAATGGGGAAGAAGACGATCGACTGAAGATCCGCCATTTCCGTGTGGGACTACTGGTTACCTCTGAAACTGCAACCGATGGAGAATTTTTCTCGAAAGCCCAAATAGGTTGAGTATGTCTATGGACCATAAACTTCATCAAACCCTCCTGAAACTCCATTTCCGATTCTCAGCTTCAGACTTCCAGTCTCTCTACAAAACCCTTTCAACGAACGCAAAGAAGATAGCCTCTGTGACTCGTCAATGAAACAGCTACATGAATTGATCCTGAAGCTCCATGAATTCTGTGGGTAACTGAACAGCGGCTGAGTTTTGGTGAAGTTAACAAATAACTAATCGTTGTTCTAAACTAATAAAAATAAATAGGTAAGAGAAAACCCATTAAAAAGTTCATTTCTGTTCCACTAACATTATTCGAGTTATAACAACTTGCAAAGCAAAGACATTTAAATTTCTAAAATCTTTTTTTTTTCTACTCACCTAAGAAATTTAGAAAAGCCCTCATATTTATGCTACAATCTTCCAATAAAATGATAAATTGATTAAATATCAGTTGACAGTCAATTCAAACTGTAAAGAAAGATCAAGAACATTGGCCACATTACTCTTCTCTTTCTAACCTTAATTCAGATCTCAATTATGTTTTTTTAACTTTACAAAAAGGGTTCTTTTGTGCACAAAGTGGCAGATGACTTTTTCTCGACTGTTTCCTAAGTTAGTACCATATGAGATGTGTTTGGCCCTCCCTTTAGATTCCAAACAGAAGCCTATCCTTGGTTATTAATGAAAACAACCATATAAAGTTCAAATAAAAATTCCAACTAAAGTGGTGCAACAAAATATAATCTTTAAACCATATTGGCCCACTAAATCCTGTAATAAACCGACCTTAGGAAAGGTAGTTTTCCTAGAGATACAATGAGAGAACTTGACAGTGCAATTAACCAGGAACTCAATTTTTTTATGGTACGAGATTAAATAAGTGGGTAAAGGGTAGTACCTTTTGACTCTTTACTGCTTTCCATTCTTCTGTAAGCCAAAGAAATTAGTCCACATGTTACCACTCCGCTCTACTTTCACTTCTCTCTAAGCAATAAACAAAACAATCCATTTGGCTTTATTCTCAATGGACTTTCAAGGAGGCATGGATGTAAAGTGTAAAAGCAGACTATTTAAAGTAACTGATAGACTTTCAAAGAGCACTCTATCATTGTCATCGAGGAATCCGATGCTCTAATTCCAGTAAGGTCCAACATCACTTTTTGAACAAATTGAAAGAATAAACACAGATCAAGTTCACATTAAGATAGGAGAGAGGAGAAAACCTTCACTGGCTACCCATGTTCCTTTCGTATAGAAAATTCCCCTGTTTTCTTCAGATGAAAACAGAAGCAGCCACGAAAGATCATCACCAGAAACGTACACTACATGTGGTCGATCTTCTTGATCTCCTCTTATTCAGATGTTAATAAGAAAATAGTACCAAGTGAAGCAAACAAGCAAAGATATATGAAGTACCTTTTAGCGACTGGTGTGGCCAGTCACAATTCCTTCTTCCACAATGCTCTAGTTTGTAGCATGAGTAGCATCAGCAGAGTCATACTGAAGCTTCTCGGTCTGTTCTACTACCTGGCATGTGAGAGAACGCAGAAACACAACAAGTCTCATCTCACGGTTCAAGCGTATCTGTGTAATTCAAGACGTGATGAGTTTCAAAGATTTGTCATCTAGTTGTGTTTTATGAAATTCTAATCTAATGAGACCTAATGAATTGGGAATTGATTTATTCCATTCTCAATACCTAATGAATAGGGTATTCAATGACTCCACTCTCAATAAGTAAATTGTTAAAAGTTCTATCCACGCATGCCAAGAACAGCACTAGTAAGGCAGAGGTCAATGAATGCACTATACACAATTGATTCTGCTGCTTAAATTTATCCTCAAAATGTTCATACATACAGATAAAAACATCCCCAAAGAGGGCTCTAATTTACAAAAGGAATACACCCGTAAATATTTCAGACGATAAGACATAAGTGATCCAGAACTCTACGCTCGTCCAATTGAGAATGGTGGTGGCGGCCGCTGCTTAGAACGGGGCAACAGGGCAAGAAGAATCTTTTTCCTTGGTCCCTGTTAAATAGAAGTATCAAGTGAGGGTTCAAATTAAATTTCCAATGCATACAACAAGCTTGGATGATATTGAAGTTCCAAGTGAAATCATTAAACTAGACTAGTTAGGAGGCAACTACCACGTACACTGGTATAGAGTACTTTTATCAAATGATTTCATAGTGCATATGACACATTCTTCTTTGGCAGTACTAATAATCAGATAAATGATAAATGATAACAATTACATAAACAATATAACATAGAAACCAAGACACTTCAGACTATGGTAGTATTATTGACCCTATCAGTATCCTTTAGGAGAATTCGTTTAAGGTTTTTATGGAAAAACAACATCTAAAAATAAGATGAATTTGGTGGTACATAGATAGAAATCTTCAATAATACTGCATTAGTTGAATGGATCTTTGCTTAGGATTTCATATCTTCGTTATTGTATTAACAAATTAGTAAAAGAAAGTAAAATAAAGCAATATAGTAAACCAATATAGTATGAACAGAAGTTTCAGAGTTGATAAATTAGTAATATATAAGACCTTTAACTACTTAAGTAAAATAATTAATAAGCTGATTTTTTTTTTTTTTTTTTGAGAAAATTCAAACCTCACCTCTGTTGAGAGCATATATTTTAACTAATTGAGATGTAATCAATTCAAGTATAATAAAATGGTTGCTTCATTTTATAATTGAACCGTATTATGTTCAATGAAATAAGTTAGTTAATTTATCAGTTAACTAAAATGACGTAAGACAAATTAGTAATTAGGCAGTTAGGCAAGCACGCCACACAGGACTAAAAGTTGGAAAGCAAAAAAATGTTTTTTCAATTAGAGTTTGACAATCGTTGAAGGCCAGGGAAATGGAATTACCATTGGTATCCCCAACTCTTTAAGATCCTTGTCTCCCATCTGTCTCAAAGCTGTCATATCAATCTGCAAGATACAATTTAGAAGAAGAATCTAAGTCCAAATACAAGCATTTAAAAGTCCATAGACAAGCATAAGGAACACCATACATAACGTTCACATGGTAAAAGAAACCCAGTTGTTGTATGCTACAGAATCTACGTTCTACATCTTATAACGTTTTTTTTTTTTTTTAATCAGATACAAACTTCTGATCAATTAATGAAAAAGAACTTTTAACTTTCAAGAAAATACATACATTCGGCAATACTGAAAAACAATATACAAGCAGAGATGACTTACTTCTTCTGCTTGAAAATGAATGGAATATTTCCCCAAACCAAGTGAATTCAACAAGCCAGCAACAGAAAGAGAACCCTCCCCCTGTAAACAATCATTAACAAGGCTTATCAACAAAAGGCTCAATCCGGCATCAAAGATGAGCTAATCTATAAGATTGTAGAACTTAATGAATTGAGTTGGTACATTAAATTAGGCCGATAAGCAAAACGGTCAAAGGGTATACCATTGTGGAACTTCTCTGCATGCTGCCACTTATTGGTGGGATATCCTTAACTCCCTTGCCAGATACAGGGAGGGCGGCTTTCATTTTCCCAGGTGCAGAGTCTACAGACCTATAACTGTCAGCAACGCTGTTTTCGAAAAACCATTCACCTCTTGAACGATCAGCTTCCATCATAAATGAGGTTCTCCTAAACTCATCATTGTATCTAGGTGGTGAAAGCCCCATGGACCTTTTCATGATCCCATCTGGGGATCTAACTCTCAATCTATCAACATATGAAACAGCACTTTTCCTCTGCGACTGCTCTAGGTATAGATCATCGGCACTTTCTCCAGCATGTGGTCGCCTTATAAGATTGCTCCCTCGAAATTCATGCCTACCATGTAATACATCTCCACTAGTTGAGGCCAGCGAATTTTTTGATAATTGATGGTGTAAGCTCATCCTCCGGTGTTCTTCTCCACTACCAAATTTCTTGGATTGATTTTTGCGCATAAGTTTCAAGCGAAGATCATTTTGACCAACTCTGTAGGCTTTATTCAAATAAGAACAGAAGTAATCATGAGATCAAAGAAAACCAATACGTGTAGAAAAACATACAATAATATAAGCAGAAAATTTGCCAGTACCGTCTTTTCTTTCACCATTTGAACTCCAGGGAAAGCCATCTCCACGTTGCCTGCAAAGAGAATACTCAACTAAGGCATGCAAAATTCAGAATATATACTAGTTCAAAATTCGTAGATAAAATGAGGAGATTCATAAAGAATACAAATCCACAAAGTAATCATTGTATGAAAAATCAAAACTCCAACGACACAAAATATACTTCATAAAAAGGAACGTTATTATCTCTACAGCAGCACTTAAATTAGGGAGGTCTCAAGAGCATGAAATCAAATTAACTGAAAGAAACAAGTGGCCAACAATTCGTTCAATTTTTCAAGTTAAAGTACACCATAAATGCAAGAAGAACCAACAAGGTGAAAGCTGAGAACAACTGAAAAAATACAGACTTACCGGAGATTTGGGCTACGAAGAAAATAAAAGAAAAGGAAGAATGCGCGGATAGGTATATGCTAGTAATAGTCAATACAGAAGTAGAGCAAAAGAAAGCAAACCTCTTATTCGTGGACGAAAACAAATCTTCAGCATTATCAGCTGATCTCTCAAGATACCGTTTTCTTCTTGGCTCTGATCCAGAATCAATGTTCGATTGTGCGAAGTCTGAGGCTATACCTCCTCTCTTTATCACCTGAAAACGATGCGATCACAAAAAGAAAAGCTCAGTAAGTGCAAGAATCATCGATGACATAACTGGTACAAGAAAACTAAAGGAAAACTCGAAAAATCTCTGCCTTTCCTATTTACTTTTTAAAAAGACGCTTGAACAAACTAAATGCGATTACCTGACCAGAGCGCCCGAGAGTGATGGTGACTTGGGGCCTCGACATCTCCGAGAAACGAGCGCAGTAGACCTCTGAGGGATCAACCTATCTAGCTAATTAAAACAAAGAGGGATGGAACAGAATGAAAGGTAGAATTGCAGAAGTGCAACGAAACCCTAGAATAAGAATCAAGCTGTTGTCAGGAATTGGGAAAGGAATGAAGAAGACGATGATGTTGAGGGGCGCGCGCTAACGGTTCGGGGCAATTGTTGAGCCAATTGGCGGAGTCAGTGTGGGCTGGGCTACAACGCCAGGGCACCCGAAATCGAAAATCGTAAAAGACCGAAATTTCGCATTTATATGAATAGTTTCTTAAGGAAATTACAAAAATATTTTTAATTATTCATAAAACAATATTACTATACTCAAAATTTCATATTAGTTTGTATTTATTATTTTTCTTCAACAATAATCAAATCAGAATTAAAATCTATTTAGTTTTAGGAGGTACTAATAGATATTATCATTAGAATTAAATTTACAATTTAACAATTAAAATATTTTCAAATATACATTTGTAAATTTACTCCACATTGCTACAAACTCCATTGACTGAATTAATTTTATTTCATGCCCTAAAATAAGATATTGCGACCTATGCCAAAGTTCTTGTATTGGGATGAAAATTAGAGCCTCCTAAACTTATTCGTACATATTTTCTTTTTTTTTTTTACAATTCATTGACTAAATTATAAAAGAAAAAAAAAAAGGCTTATTTTTAGTTTTTAAAACTTAAACTAAGGATTTAGAAAATAAAAAATAAATGCAAAATCCTATATTGTTCAAACCTCAAAATTACTTGGGTGGAAAATCGAACTTAAGAACCGAAAATTCAAGAAATTGGGAATTTACATTATGCTCACAATAGAATGGGAATAGCAACATCTTTATTGATTATAATTATTATTACTTTTCCAATCTCGAAAGTAAAAGGAAAAAGTATGGAGTATGCAAATTCAAACCTCTAACCCGAAAAGGAATACCTATCCATATAGGGTTCTTTCTTCTAACTCATATTTTTCACCACTAACAACTCCAGCATTGGATCCTCTCCCAAAACACCCATCCATGTATGGTTCTAGCCAAACTAAGCCAAACCAAATATTGTTGGGTCAAAACTTACATGTTACAAATACCATGGAAAAGAAATGTGATCATTTGTCAGTGGCAGATATGGCACAACAATTCATGATCTCATCAGCATGTAGTGTTACATACATAATTATACTTGTATATTTCCACCCCTTTCAATCATCATAGCACAGTTTGAAGTACTGTGAATGAAATTAACAAGTGGAAATTGAAGGTTACATGTTTGCTGTTGTTGCCTTGATATCTTCCATGGTGATCACCTACAGAAAAGAGGAATCAGAAATCCAACGAGAGCAGGAAAAAATTATTCACAACAGAAACAATGGATAGTTGCAACATATGCAAAGTAAATAGCCATAATATTTGCAGTTTAGCTTAATATTCAATTTTTTCCGGCTAAAAGATCTTGTGATAATTCCCAACTTCACATTTAGCATAGTGTTCAAGGAGTGGAGCTAGTTAATGAAATTAATAAGAAAATTCAGTTGCACTCTGGAGTGGTAATAGTGTCTAACAATAAATCATACACCTTCCGGTAAATTGAATTGTCAATTCAGTCTGTAGTCATTACATTGAGATTCTTTCCATGAATTAGAAGTATCAGTATAATCTTTCAGATCAAGAGTAACTGATAACAATTACCTGGTCGTTGCCTGCAAAGTCGTTCTCAGGAGTTAGGAAAAGCATGCAGTGACACTCTTTCCTGCCAAGAAAAAATTAATTTTCAGACCAGATGTGCCTGATATGGAATAAAATGAGTAACAGCGTCCTATCATCTACATTTCCTTGCTTCCTGAAACATTCCAATATCCAAGGGCTGGCTTTGAAAGTCAGCCTGTTATTACCATATTCCTGGTATCGAATATAACACAAAAACAACCTTACTCGCTAGAGTGAACAGCTTGGTTATGTGTGACTAATCGACTACAAATTTAGTTTACCAGATGACCATGGGAAATAGTTCTAACAAAGTCAGTTTATGAAAGATTTAAACCCTGCTCTTCATCCGCGAAAAATCAGTATAGGGCTCAGGGTATTTACTTCCAAGTTTAATAACCTAGTACTGTAAGTCTCAACACCCATCATCTTAAGAAACAAATTAAGATGGATAGCCATAATCTCCCACCCCTTCTCTTTTCCTTCCTCTTTCATAAGAATAAAGACTTATAAAGCTGAATCATCCTAATGCAGATCATTCAGTCAGTCAATAAATCAAGTGAGAAACGTTTTATGAGTATAATGCAGACAGGCAGGTGTATAGTTTCATGAATTCCAGATCGCAAAAAAGAAACTTCCCGATGATATAAGTGCATGTTTTACCTTTCTCTCATTGGAACACATGGACAATTCCAAAAACCTTGTGCAACCTCAGCAGCTTTGTCGTCATAATGCCTGAAAAAAAATAACCGAACTATTTAACTCTGCATTAAAGATAGTTTGAACTACCCTTAGTTCCAGAAAATATTACAGGATTTCTACAAAGCATTATAAACACTGACCGACAGGGACAGAGTGGTGCACCCAATGTATCTTTGTGATCTGCCAGTCCCTGTTTAGATCTAATATGAGCTTCTCTTACACTAGTTACAGATCAACGGCATTCAATCAATTTCATCTAATGTCGATACAACTGTACCCATAAACATAACGGAGACTAAATACAAAGATCCATTAGTACAGGTTCATCGAGTTAGACTTCTGGAACTTATGCAATCAACTTGCCACAGTAAAACTAAACTCTTCCATCATGAACTTTATCAGCAATGTCAAGAAAAAATATTTCCAAAGAATATAGGTAATCAAATTTCATGAACGTTGTCGTCTACCTGCGGGAGCACAGACGAAGTTTCTTCTCCTCTATTGCTTCACTAACTAATAAATAATTGCTCAATTTGAGAATGAGTAACTAGAAAACCTATCAATTCCTTGCGTGCAATCAATGAGATGTTCCATAAAGGTCAACAGATAAAACACAATCATGTAAGCCACTCAAACAACTTCATGACTACAGAATTAAGACAGAAAAATGAAAATTCCATTTATAAGTAACGGAAATAACACCACAAGAAAATCTCAGAAAATAACCTTGATTACAACAGCAGTAACCCCCTTGTCCACACAGAAATACGTTCCTGACTTGCGAGCATACTGCTCCGAGAATTTCCTCATTATTTCGACCGACTTGTCGGACGGTTCCCCTGAAGTAACAACAAAATTACATTCGAATGATCTATATCCAAAAGCGGTAGACAGGAACAATAACAAGAAGAACAACTTTGTGGTTGGACATCTAAATGAATCCACAGAGAAGGATACAGCAAACAAAAATTGGCGCTAGAATGTCGAGATTTGAAAAGATAAATTCCAAACAACAGTAAAACAAGATTTAGAATCAGTTTAAAAAACCGGCTATAATTACCTTGAGCTCGAACGACATGGCTGTGACGGGAACGTCCGGTGGAAGAACCGGAGAGTGGAACGGCGATATTGAACGACGAAGCTTGTAGAATCATTAGGACAAAGCAACGGAAAACGAGGAAGAGAAGAAATCTGTAAATTGGGAGGAGGAAGAAGAAGGATAATCTGTGGATTTGTTCATAGTTATTTCTTTTTGTTGTTAAATATTGTGGGAGTTAAAGGGCTTATAATTGCAATTAATTTTCTGAAACGAAGATAATTGAATTTAATAGAAAATTTTGGGAGGACGCCATTCCACGCATCCCAAATATCAGGGAGCGAGCTCTACGAACCACTCGGTTCGGATTTGATATGATTCCGGGCCTTGGGCCCATGACAAACCCGTCCATGTCATCGGCCCAATTATAATTTATTTTTTTTATTTTTTTTATAATTCTATCTTCGAATTTGAAATCAATGCAACAAAAAAAAAAAAAAAAAAAAAGGGTTAAAATTAAAAAATTAAAAATAAATAATTAGGTTCAAATATCATTATGATGCAAACTTTATTTTATATTTTAATTATTGTAGTTTCACATATTTCAATTAAGTCATGGTACATTTAATAAATATAAAAATTAGTTTTATGGCTAATTTATTGAATGCATGTTTTTAAAATGATCAAATTATCAAAGCATTTTAAATTATGTATTAGTCGTAGTAGTCAGTAATTCGAGTCTCTAGCAAAGTGAAATCGTTATTATTTTATTCTTACGCTATGATAAAACCTCACCCTATAATTTAATAAAATCTTCGTAAATTTATAAATTTTATTTTTTTCAAAACATGGAAACCCTACCTATAAACTAAAACCACGAGAGTAAATGCTCATAACGACCTATGATTGATAAATTATAAAAATGTTTTTAAAATTGTATTGAATAGTAGAGCATAGTTTAGCAACCGACCTAAAACATTTATTGTCGCTGATACCTTTAATCTATTTATCTTTCATTGGAGTATGAAAAATGAAATTGTATATATATATTTAGTTTTTGTGAGATCCTACCTACCAATAGTTATATGAGTAGTTGTTGTTACTCTCTTGCTTGCATATATAACGTCTTTTTTAAAATCTCTCTCTGCCCTCGTTTTCTAAAACTTCCTTAAATCGAGGCCAGAAGTTCGAGCATACGTCGCTTAACCGTAGGCGACGTAAGAACGAATTGGCTTAGCTCACTCGTCGTTAGAAAGTGACTGCCGCACAATCGCAAGTCTGCTGCCATCAAGAGTGCAATTGTGACTAGTGGTATCTAGAGATACGAACGAGTGGCAACAAGGATGCTGACTTCGAAAGTAGGTGGTTTGTAAGATCCTATGTCAGTTGAAGAGAGGAACGAAACATTTTAAAAACTATAAAAAGAAAGCCAAAAAAAAAAAAATCACAAAAATGACAATATGTACTAGCGGTGAATTTGGGATTGAGACAATATTTACTATTTTGTTCTCATCAAACACAAAAAATGATATCAATATCTCCATGAATTTATGTCCACAAGATCTTAGATATAATTATAGTATCATGAAATGTTATCGAACATAGAATCACAAGACAATGCCAGGCTTTCGAATTATTTAATTTAATTATTTAATTTTGATGTACGCATATAGTAACTCAACCTTAGCTTTGTTTTTCTCCTTCATGCAATTTTCTTTCAAAAGCGCCCCCAACTCCAACCCATATTCTTCACACACCCATCTTAGTTTGTCTCTATCTTGTCGTGAACATGGATTTGAGATCATGTCTCCAAGTGATGTTCATACTTGTCGCCGCCATAGCACCTCACGCCATCATGGCGCGCCATCTTCACATCCACAAGTTGTCTTCGTCTATATTTCCCCAACATCTTGTGGGAAGTGGGAAGGGCCACAACATAGAAGGAATCCACAACGTCAGAGCCTTCCTCCAACGTTATGGTTACTTGAGCACAAATGTGGAGACCAAAGGCAACGTCTTTGATGACAACTTGGAGTTTGCCATTAAGTCATACCAAAAATTCTTCAACCTCAACGTGAGTGGCATTTTGGATGCGGAGACTTTGGAGCTAATGTCACAGCCTCGATGTGGAGTTCCCGACGTGTTCATCAACGAGACGGGCGGAGACGGGAATGGGGACAGGGATCACCCCATAGGACTTCATTACAGTTTTTTCAACGATTTGAAACCGAAATGGTCGGCGTCCAAATACAATCTGAAATACACATTTCTTGGGAGTTTTCCGGAACAGTACAAGAATACAGTGATTCAAGCCATGATCAGCTGGAGTTTTAACAGTGTGTTTGCATTCTCAGAAGGTAGTACGGACAACACAGATGTTAGAATAAGCTTTGAAGTAGGAGACCATGGAGATGGGTCTCCTTTCAAGGACAAAAATGGAGCATTGGCGCATGCTTTTGCGCCTGAAGATGGGAGACTTCACTTCAATGCGCAGCATGCTTGGGCGGATGGAGCTTATCCTGATAAGTTTGACGTGGGGAGTGTGGCATTGCATGAGCTTGGACATATTCTTGGGCTGGGCCACAGCGACATTAGAGACGCCGTCATGTGGCCATCTATGCCTCCTAATTTGAAGAAGGAGCTAAGCAGCGATGATGTTAGTGGAATCTCGGCTTTGTATGATGGAGTTGAGGAAGACTAGCACAACAGTTTGGAGATTCATTTGTTTCTTGTTTTCACCTTTAACACAATTGGAACAAGTTGCTATGCTATCTTATGCTGCAATTCTACAGAAATAAAGCTTAATATAAGAGATTGCTTGTTTTGTTATTGATGCAACCATTAATCTTTTTACTTTTTATACATCATTTCTCACTCAATACTTACTAAATCCCATGGTTGGTAGGCATGGGCCAGCTCTCCCCCATGGTCAACGAATGGGGTACCGTCACCATGGTCACGTCCTTCACAACGTACAGTGTGATCGGATTGTGCATTGATGGGGGCTTGTAGAGATGTGTCTATGGGATGGGGGTGGAGACGAGGTCTCCATTCATACCTTCCGTTTCAATTTTCATTACTCTAAAATTTTCTATTTATTTTTGTACTATTGGTAGGGGATTCTCCGTGAAGATCGTCCTCATCTTCATTTAGCTAAAGAAAAATCTCTCATTTCCTCTTTCATTTTTCCATTTCAATATAAAGATGGTTTCCGCTAATTAAATAAACGTCCAGTTTTAGAGCTCCATTTTAAATGAATGATGTAGTGAAAGTTCATCATTTAAGAAATTAAGAAAGAGTATAAATTAATAGGTTAAATTAAATAAGTTTAAAAAATAGTCCTAAACTTTTATAAATTTTAATTAATACAACTTTGAACCATAAAAACGTGAGTATTTTGTTTAAAAAATATTCTTAAATTTTTTTAAAAAAATCGAGTAGTAACTTTTAACTTTTTAAAAATACAAAAAATACCCTTATTATTAATACTAGGTTTAAAATATACTCATGAAATTAAAAAAAAAAATTTAATTATTTATAGTCGGTAAATAAGTCATAAATTATCTCCAAACTTTTTAACGTTGATTTTCAAAGTATATGAGTATTTTTTTTTTTCTAAAAAATTAATTAATTAAGACGTGCTTGGGTTTAAGAAGACAATACTTTCTAACTATGTGTTTGGGGTGGAACAGGACAATATTTAGTAAAAGTGGACTTAGAATTGTTCCAATTTTTGTTCTTACCATAAACACGAAGCAAGCATGAAAATGAAGCAAGTATGAAAAGAATCTACTGAGGATGATGAAAGAACATTTCTGTCTGTATATGAATTTATGTCCACAAGATCCTCGATTTAATTAATTATAGTATCATGAAATGGACAATGCTGGCATTCAATTTATTTAATATTGATGTATGCATATAGCAACTCAACCTTAGTTTTTTATGTTCTCCTTCATACAATTTTCTTTTAAAAGGGCCCCCAACTCCAACCCATATTCATCACGCACCCATCTTAGTTTGTCTCTATCTTGTCGTGAACATGGATTTGACATCATGTCTCCAACTGATGTTCATACTTGTCGCCGCCATAGCACCCCACGCCATCATGGCGCGCCATCTTCACACCCACAAGTTGTCCTCGTCTATATTTCCCCAACATCTCGTAGGAAGTGGGAAGGGCCACAACATAGAAGGAATCCACAACGTCAGAGCCTTCCTCCAACGTTATGGTTACTTGAGCACAAATGTGGAGACCAAAGGCAACGTCTTTGATGACAACTTGGAGTTTGCCATTAAATCATACCAAAAATTCTTCAACCTCAACGTGAGTGGCATTTTGGATGCGGAGACTTTGGAGCTAATGTCGCAGCCTCGATGTGGAGTTCCCGATGTGTTCATCAACGAGACGAGCGGAGATAGGAACGGGGACGGGGATCACCCCATAGGACTTCATTACGCATTTATCAATGATTTGAAACCGAAATGGGGGGCGTCGAAATACAATCTGAAATACGCATTTGTTGGGAGTTTTCCAAAACAGTACAAGGCTACAGTGGTTGGAGCCATGCACAGTTGGAGTTCAAAAAGTGGATTTAAATTCACAAAAGGTAGTGCGAATAAGGCAGATGTTAAAATAAGCTTTGAAGTAGGAGACCATGGAGATGGGCATCCTTTCAAGGAGGGAAGTGGAGAATTGGGGCATGCTTTTGCGCCTGAAGATGGGAGACTTCACTTCAATGCGCGGGAGGCTTGGGCGGATGGAGCTTATCCTGATAAGTTCGATGTGGGGAGTGTGGCATTGCATGAGCTTGGACATATTCTTGGGCTGGGCCACAGCAGCTTTAGAAACGCTGTCATGTGGCCATCTATTGGTCCTAATTTTGTGATGGGCCTAAACGACGATGATGTTAATGGACTCTTGGCTTTGTATAATGGATTTAGGGAAAAATAGCACAACACTGTGGAGATTCATTAGTTTATTGTGTTAACTTTAACACAATTGGAACAATTGGAACAAGCTGCTATGCTATCTTATGTTGTAATTCTCTCGAAATAAATAAGCTTAACAAGAGATTGCTCATTTTGTTATTGATGCAAACATTTGTCTTTTTTTTTTTTCTTTTTTTAATCTCGTACTCAATGCTTATCAACATTTCTCTTCTTTATACTTAGTTTGGACATGTCGTCCCGTGGTTCTTAGGCGTGGGCCAGCTCTCCCCTACGGCCAACGAATGGGATACCATCACCATGGTCATGTCCTTCAAAACCTGTAATGTGATTGGATCGTGCATTGATGAAGGCTTGTAGGGATGTCCATGGGGTGGAGACAAGTTTTCCATTCTTGCCTCCTATTTTAATTCTCATTACTCTCAAATTTTCTATTTATTTTTATAGTATTAGTGGGGATTCTTCGTGAAGATCAGGTTTCTGTCAGAGATTGGTAGAGATTTAGTGGGGTCAGAGATTAGAATAAAGATGGGGACAAAAAATCTTTGTCCCCCTCCTCGTCTTCATTTAGCTAATAGAAAGAAACATCTCTTTTTCCTCCTTCATTTCCTATTTCAACATGAATTTTCCACTCTGTTTAAGATGGATCCATCTGAAGTCCATGGTTTGAAAGCTAGAACTACCCGCTCCATTTTATAATGAATGATATAAATTAATTTATTTGTGAAAGTTCATCCTTTAGGAATTTGAGAAACAGTATAAATTAATAAGCTAAATTAAATAAGTCAAAAAAAAAAAAATTCTAAACTTTCATCAAATTTAATAATACTTCTAAGCTTTGAATGAATGCGTGATTATTTTGTTTAAAAAATACTTTTGGACTTTAAAAAAATTTCAATAATGTCCTCCAACTTTCTTAAAAGTACAAAAATACTCTTATTATTAGAGTATTTTTAAATACTCATGAAATTTTAAAAGTAACATGAGTACACTTTTTTCCTTAAAAATTCAAAATTATCTCTGAACATCAATTTTTTATTGATCTATCTACACCTCATAAATTATCTCCGAACTTTTTAATGTTCGAGTATTAAAAAAAAAAAATTGTAATACTCTCCTATAAGCCTTTAAAAAATAAAAAATAGATAAATAAATAAATAAATAAAGAGAAAAGAGAAAGATATATATATATATATATATATATATATATATATATATATATATATATATATATATATATCATTCAAGATGAATTGGGTAAAAAAGAGTTATTTTATTTCATTATTTGAGCTTGGATTGTTTATTCTATGACATTAGTAGTCGTAATCAGAATCCATATAGAGCTTTAATTCCATTGATATCATCAGCTTGCAGTTCTTTCTTGACCGTTCCAGAACTAATGGATGGGTACATAATGGCCTGTACAACATTGCTGTGTCCAAGCCCAAGGATGTGCCCCATCTCATGCACCGCCACACTTTCCAAGTCAAATGCATTAGGAGCAGCGCCAATGACATAACTGTCATCCGCGTCGAAGTGAAGCCTACCGTCCGTCGGTGCAAAGGCATGGGCCAGCGTGCCCCCCGGACCATCAAACGGGTATCCATCTCCATGGCTCAGTCTCGCAAAGGTTATTGTGATGTCTGCAGGGGCAGAGCTGGGGACCTCTGTAAATGTGAATTGGGTCACTGCCGCCCACCTGCCGCAAGCGCTAGCCACAGGGGGCTTCCCATTAGTTGGGAAGCCCGTAAGGAATTTATAGGTGAGATTGCGTTTGGAAGGAGGCCATCTGGGGCTGCCTTGGAAGAACGAGTAGCGAGAAACCTTGTGGAATTTGATACGATGTTGGGTTTTGTTGTAACTCTCTTCAGCCCAACATCCTTCTGAACCAGGGAACAACGACAACACCACAAGGACAACCCCCAAAAACAACGTTGTTTTAAAAGCTTTCGAGGATGCCATTGTTATATGCAACATACTACACAATTTCCACCCTATTTATACCCAACAAACAATGTTCTACTTTCACGTCTCTCTTGGTTATTTTAATACGCATTTTTAATGCCATTAATTACTTATGTAAATATATTTAGCATTCCAAGGTTTAAAAATGAATGTTTTTACCATGCTTGATTTTTTTAGAGGATATTTTCTCCATAAAAGTCAACTCTTTTTATTACGTGTTCATCGTCGTTATTTTATGAATATATGTCATGTTTGGAAAATTTAAAAATATTTAATTATATTATTTCTTTGAAATTTACGAAAATTTTCGAATGAATGGGTTTGAAGTTCGTACCAAAGAAAAGTAAATTTTTTAGAAGAAAAAAAAAAGTAATATTGATAATTTGGTATTAAAAAATTTATAGGCTAATTGTGTTTAGCATAGTGTTTATAGTTTTTAATGAGAGAGTTGAAAAATTAATGAAAGAGGAAGTTCAAAGAGTTTTTTTTTTTTTTTTTTTTTTTTATCATTCCACCATTTTAGACCAATATTAATTTTTTATAATTCTATTTAAAATATTTTCTATAATTGAATCTCACTAATTTTATAATTAAAAAAAAAAGTGACAAAAGGAACTCGATGTTATTTTTGCCACTACAGGTGGTCGAAGGTTTTTTAGAACGAGTCACGAGTGTTTAGACTAGAATCCAGTCATAAAACCAAATCATGTGATACAAATGATTGAGATATGCTCAGCAAAGTTAAAAGATAATTAGTGGTTGAAATAAAACACGTTTAACCATGTAGTTTCTATTATTGAGCCACCAAAATGGAGAGTGCATGCTGTTAGTATAGGTAATGACTTCATTTTCTTTCGCTTTTTTTAATCATCTTATCTTGAGAATGGTTCTGATTCGAATGTAATCTCGATTCATTCATGTGATGTTCATTGGCCCAGATTATTAGTATAATTAAAGAATGTTTAAATAGATAATTTCATTCCTCCAAAAATTAAAAAAAAAATGATAATTTCCTTGATTTTTTATGTGAGTTTTTTATTCTCAGTCCTCCTTTCATTAATATATGTTGTGCATTAAATAATTAATTTGAGATTAAATTGGGTATTAAAACTACAGGCATAGCGCATGGTCCAAACTAGTCTGTTTTTTTTTTTTTTTTTTAAATTATATTATGATAACAAAAGCTTTAAAAATAAATAAATAAATAACAACCAATGAAATACCTGTCTTCTCTCTACGTGACTATTGGGCCCCTCCCTCGGAAACGAGAAGGATAAGGGACTTGGTCATATATCTAAGACTTTGAGGAACGAAATCGGTCACTTTGGTTAGCCATTGACCCATCATAGGTGCATGCAATAGGATCGACCTGTGGCCCAAGTGGTTAGGATGTTTTCAAATGCTTCTACTCCTTTTGTTCTATGAATCCTGACTGATTCCGAATGCTTCTACTCCTTTGATTCTAGGAATCCCGACTGACTCCGCTATGCAATAAGAAACCCGAAAAAAAAAAATCAAACAAAAAATTAATATAAGATTAAAAGTCAAACCTTTTAAATGGGATTCTAAGAATTAATAACTATAGGCTAATCTAGCGGTCAATGAAGCATGTAAAATGTAACTTTGATGAATAAGCTTTTAATTCTATGGTGATTTCTTAAGCAGAAAATTAGAACACGAATGGTAAATCTCAAGCTTAATATAAGTCATTCATTATATTATTTTATTTTATTTTATTTTATTATAACGGATTATGAAGCAAAAAAGGGTGAATAAGTTTTTATCTTTTTTGAAAGAGTTTTTGAGGACGATGACTAGTTTTAAGTGGGGGAGAATGTCACAACCATATTAAGATAAAGAAAAAAAAAAAAAAAAAAACTCTCACATGTTCTTTTGTAACCCCACACTTCAATAAAAGTCAATTGTCGACCCTCATGTGGCCCGCATTGTGTGAAGGTCACAACCTACCATGTTCTTAGTATGGTTGTGATGTTAAACACGTAACTCCTTGCCTTATAGGGTTTTAATCGTCTAATTTCTAACAATTGACTTTTATTGAAGTGTGGGGTTACAAGTTTTCGTGAACCTTATTTTACTATTGATATAGTAATACTAATGTGACACCCGAGTAAACGATGGATATATGAATGGACCAAGACTACATCTAAATGAGAACGATCCGGAAGATAAGATAATTAGGAAAAACTTAAAAGAATTGAAAGTCACTCCTTATACTAATAAGTGAGTTCTCGATTTTTTTTACTCTATATTATCAGGTAGAAGTGAACGGGTAGGAGATAAGAGTTTTTTTTTTTTTCTTTCTTTCTAAAATTTAAATAAAGATTGGGTTGAAAATAAAAGATTTCTAAGTATATTTTAACCCTAAAATATAAACCCAACCCATTAAATGACAAAAAAAAAAAAAAAGAGACGGTAACATCGAAGTCCATTGCTAGTAAATATTATATGTTTTGGCTTGTTATGTGTAGTTGTTAGACTCACGGTTTTAACACGGTCTTCTATGGAGAGGTTTTCAGACCCTTAAAAAGAATGTTTAGTTCTTCTCTCCAACCGATGTGAGATTTCACAATTCCCATTTTCGGGACCAGCGTTTTTGCTATCATTCGTTTTTCTCTCCAATCAATGTAGAATCTCACATAAACTACTTATCGAGCGTGTATTATTATTGCTGTTTTAGTGATGATAGGAAGCCTAAGCCATCACATAGCGAAAAAGACACATTTTCCTTGGAATTGGCTATAGTCAGCACCAATGGAATCATTCATTGAATATTTGTTGAATGAGGCATCGTTGGAAAGGGATGGTAATGAGCACCAAAAAATGGCAAAAAGTTCCATTGTTTATGGCTTCCAGACACTTGGTTCTTTAGGCTGTGACCCAGCCAAGGGTATACCATATTGCCTGTATGCGTCGTGGTGGGTCGAGGGTCATTTTCCGCAACCCCTGGTCCAGTGCTCTACCTTCATCAACCCCTGGTCCAGTGCTCTACCTTCATCAAACTGACAAAATCAAAAATAAAATTTCGAGAATTTTTGTTTAAAATGATATAGAATCATGTCTTTATCTTTACTTAATCATGTCAATAATGACTCAGGTGTCAGATTCGGATGGTATGATCATTTTTTCCCCTATTTAAGCATATCAATAGACGTGGCTAATATCTTTCATAGCAATGGCCTTCATAGCTCTCCAATTCTTCTCCTTCATCCTTCTACTCTCCTTCTTCCCTCATTTAAACATCTCATCTCCGTTGATTTTGAATCATAATTCCCACGGCATGAATTCATCTTTCATGTTGTTTCTAAAAGTACCTTCAACGCTTTGGTTACATTACCAATGTCCAAAAATACTCCAACGCCATGGATCATGATGACATCTTTGATAAAGCAGCTGATATGAACATAAGCTTTGAAAAAGAAGAGCATGGAGATATTGATCCGTTTGATGGTGCGGGAAAAATTTTGGCCCATGCTTTTCCACCCACGGATGGGAGACTTCACTTTGACGCCGATGAGAGTTGGTCTGTGGGAGGTGTTGAGGGTTATTTCGATGTGGGAACTGTGGCGTTGCATGAGATTGGACACCTTCTGGGGCTTCAACATAGCTCCATTCAAGGGGCTATTATGTTCCCAACCATACCGGAGGGAGATACCAAGGGTTTGCATGCCGACGATATTGCTGGAATTAAGGCCTTATATGGAATTTGATACAAATTTCTCTGTTTCCTTGTGTTTTCAATTTGTTGTTCTTGGTTGTTTGTTGTGATGCCTCTTTATTTCTCCTTGCATTTTCGATTTCTTTGTCTTTGTGTTCATCTAGCATTTTCTGTCTCTTTGTTCTTTGTATTCGTCTTGATTGAATGTGTGCTGTGTTGTGCGATCCTGACAAAAGATAATATATTTTCTGTGTAACGTCCTATTTTTACTCTTACAATAGAATTGTTACTACGAGCACATCATGAAAACAGCAAAGCCATGGATTTTAAACCTTCATAATAAAATCTTTAAAACAAAAAAAAAAGTAGAAAATAAATCAGGTCAAATTTTAATAAAATAAAGGAAAAATAAAAGTATGCACTTAACTAACCTAAGACTAATAAACCGACATGATATTATCCACTTTGAGCGTAAGTTTTTTCATGACTATATATTTTGTTTTCTCAAAATGGCCCAAATCAATAAAGATATATTCTTTAAAACATATGATCATCTCCTTAATTAGCCAATATTGAACTCCTCTCCCAACAATCCTCAACATTATTATGTTCGCAGATAGAGATGTTTCGTATAATTTTAAAATAGATTTTTATTTATTTCACAATGGTTGAATACAATTACATTATACATAAGTGTAATTAATGAATCAAACTTTATATAGAGCCCTAATCCCAGCTATGTCATCCCCATGCAAACCCTTAGTAACTCCCTCCGATATGCTTGGGAACATAATAGCGTTTTCAATGGAGCTATGTTGAAGCCCTAGAACGTGCCCAATCTCATGCAACGCAATAGTCTCCACATCAAAATAACCATCAACAGCTCCCACAGACCAAGCCTCATCGCCATCAAAGTGAAGCCTGCCGTCCGTGGGCGCATAAGCATGCGCCAGAATCCCCCCCACACCATCAAACGGCACATCATCTCCATGGTCTCCTATTTCAAAGCTTATTTTGATATCAGCTTTTGTATGGTCAAAAACACGTGAAAATGTGAAGTGGGTATTGAAAGCCCACTTGGAAAAAGCCCTCGACACTGCCATCATTGCCTCAAAGGGATACCCTGGAAGAAATGCATAGGTCAAGTGGAACTTTGAAGGCGGCCATTTGAGGTTCCCTTCAAAGAAAGCAAAGTGAGACACTAAGTGAAAATGAGCATGCATTTTTGGCTTCCTTTCCCTTCCCGATCTCATCCAAGTTGTGCCATTTATAACATCTTCAACCCCACATCGTGGCTTCCCCATTTGAGCTAATGTGTTGGCGTCCAAAATTCCAGAGGCAACAAGATTGAAGTTTTTTTGGTACGTTTTAAGGGCGGATTCCAAGGCATTATCAAAGGTGTCATCATGATCCATGGCGTTGGATTGTTTTTGGACATTGGTAATGTAACCAAAGCGTTGAAGGTACTTTTTTATCCGATGAATGCCTTGGGCTGTGTCACCCAAACGACATCCTTGGAGATTGTTGAGAAACAACAAGGAGGACGAGTTCGTGGCGTGGGAATTATGATTCAAAATGATCGGAGATGAGCCCACAGCTTCCGATTCTGAGTGGCATTGGACCGACACGATGTCGAAATGAGGGAAGAAGGAAGGGAGGAGAAGGGTGAAAGCGAGGAGTTGAAGGGGTTTGGAAGCCATTGGTGCATAATAGATGAGATTGTGGAGCCAATTTATAGAAAATGAATAGCAAGGAGGAAGATGATGTGGTAACGTGTGGTGGATTGATATGAGTTAGGCCAATTTTGGTTTGTTTATTTTATTTTATTTTCGTATAATGTGGGAAGTCTTATGCCGTTACGTGTAGGTATGAAGTTAAGTCAAAATCAAAGAGGAAGCTTATGAGATTTTGGATTTGCTTATTTTCTTTGATCTATTCTATTTATCACTAATTTCACATGTTAAATAATTTGGAAATTTTTCTAGAATTAGTTTTTTCAATTCAATAACACATTAAATGAACAGAGCCTAACCTAATTCAATTATAAGTACTTTGGTTGGGTTTGCTGAGTTATCAAATATTTATATTTAATAAAGTAAAATGTGAATTCGTAAAATATATAATAATAGTAATATGTTTATTGAATTCATGTGGAGAATTCATGGAGAATTCATGTTCAAATCGGGAATCAAGTAAAAAGAAAGAGATATTTTTTTCTATTAGCTAAATGAGAACGAGGACCGGGACAAGGATTCTCTATCCCCATCTTTGTCCCCACCTCCGACCCCCCTAAATCTCTACCAATCCCTGACCGGAAACTCAATCTTCATTGATTCTGCAAAAATAAATTCAAAATTTTGCGGTAATGAAAATTAAAATACGAGATAGGGACATGGACTCCCTGTCCTTCCCCTCCCCATCTCATAGACATCTCTACATGTCCCTATCAATACACGATCGGATCTCACAATAAGTTTTGAGGGACATGACCATGGTGATGGTACCTCGTTTGTCGGCTCCTAGGAGAGAGCTGATCCATGCCTACGAAGCACCGGACGACATGTCCAAACTAAGTATAAACAAGAGAAACGTTGATGAATATTGAGTAGGAAATGAGGTATAAAAAGTAAAAAAAAAAAACAATATTTGCATCAATAACAAAATGGACAATCTCTTCAACAAGATAAGCATAATATTTCCAATATCCCATAACTAATAAGCTTATTTATTTGGGGAGAATTACAACATAAGTTAGCATAGCAGATTGTTCCAATTGTGTTAAAAGCTAACACAAGGAATAAACGAATCTTCAAACTGTAGTGCTAGGCTTCCTCAAATCCATTGTACAAAGCCATGATTCCATTAACATCGTCGTTGTCTAGGCCCGTCACAAAATTAGGAGGTGTTATTGGCCACATCACAGCGTATCTAAAGGCGCTGTGGCCCAGCCCAAGAACATGTCCAAGCTCATGCAATGCCACAGTCCCCACATCATACTTATCAGGATAAGCTCCATCCGCCCAAGCCTCCCGCGCATTGTAGTGAAGTCTCCCATCTTCAGGCGCAAAAGCATGCGCCAATACTCCACTTCCCTCCTCGAAAGGATACCCATCTCCATGGTCTCCTACTTCGAAGCTTATTTTAACATCTGTGTTGTCCGCACTACCTTCTGTAAATGTAAATCCAGTGACTGAACTCCAAGTGTTTGTGGCTTCACGCACTGTAGCCTTGTACTGTTCTGGAAAATTCCCAACAAATGCGTATTTTAGATTGTATTTGGACGCCCGCCATTTCGGTTTCCACTCATGGAAAAATGTGTAATCAAGTCCTATGGAATGATCCCAGTCCCTGTCCCTGTCTCCGCTCGTCTCGTTGATGAACACGTCGGGAACTCCACATCGAGGCTGCGACATTAGGTGCAAAGTCTCCGCATCCAAAATGCCACTCACGTTGAGGTTGAAGAATTTTTGGTATGATTTAAGGGCGAATTCCAAGTTGTCATCAAAGGCGTTGCCTTTGGTCTCCACATTTGTGCTCAAGTAACCATAACGTTGGAGGAAAGCTCTGACGTTGTGGATTCCTTCTATGTTGTGGCCCTTCCCACTTCCTACGAGATGTTGGGGAAATATAGACGAGGACAACTTGTGGGTGTGAAGATGGCGCGCCATGATGGCGTGAGGTGCTATGGCGGCGACAAGTATGAACATCAGTTGGAGACATGATGTCAAATCCATGTTCACGACAAGATAGAGACAAATTAAGATGGGCGTGTGATTATGGGTTGGAGTTGGGGGCGCTTTTGAAAGAAAATTGCATGAAGGAGAAAAACAAAGCTAAGGTTGAGTTACTATATGTGTACATCAAAATTAAATAATTTGAAAGCTCGGTATTGTCTTGAGATTCTATGTTCCATAAGATTTCGTGATACTATAATTATGGCAAAGATCTTGTAGACATAAATTTATAGAGAGAGAAAAGTTGTTTCATCTTTAATGGAATTTTTTTATGCTCATTTTGGTATGATATCAGTATTTTTTTTTTTTTTGGGCATGGTGAGAACAAAAATTATAGTAGCCCAAGCCCACTCTAGTAAATATGGTCTTCTCTAAACCTCATACTCACCATTAATAGGTATTGTCTTCTTAAACTCAGATCCACCTCTAGTAAATATTGTCATTTTTTTTACCCTAAACCTACCGCTAGTAGATATTGTCTTCTTTGAGTTTTCTTTTATAGACTTTCTCTCAAAGTTTTTAAAACATGTCTATTAGAGAGAAATTTTCACACCCTTATAAAAATGTTTCGTTCCCGTCTTCAACCGACATGGGATCTCATAATTCACCCCTTCAAGATCAGCGTCTTAGCTGATACTCGTTTCTCTCTCCAATTGATGTGAGATCTCACATTTCCGTTGAAATTTTTTTAGAATTAACCAAATTATTATGATTGTAATTGTTTCAATCCAAACAACACTTCGTCAAATAATTAACCTAACCTAATCCAATCACAATTTTTTTTAAAACTCAAACGGGCTCGATTCGATTTCGGTTGGGTTGGGTTGGATTGGGTTCATTTTTCTAAACCCGAACTGACTCGGTTCGATTTCGGGTTCATGGGATAAAACTCTCGAGTTGACCCAAGCCAAATAAAAATATATATAATATATTAAGAAGTTAACCAGTAGGTTTGCGAGAGTGGTAATTCATTCTAACCTCAACTACGTAGTATGAGTGACAAATTTTTTAATTATTTTAGAACAAGCTAGATACAAAATTGGATTGATAGAAAATTAGTAATGTTTTTATTATTTTTTATTTTATTTTTGTTATATATATAGATATTTAAACTAATTATTTTTATTATTTTTTTTAAATTCATGATCTATCTTATATTTTTCTTGCTCCATCTAATTCTCAACCTATTTTAGCTGTTTTTAGTTTTATAACAAGGTTGAACTAGATTAATAGGTTACTATTTTTGCTATTGGTTCTTGAATTTTTTTTGTGTGAATAATAATTGATTGATGTGTGAACTTTTAATTATCTTTTGTCTAAGATTGTATCCCAATAATCATAAATTGTGGATAAATATATATATATTTTTTTAACATTCAGACAACCCAACCCGAAAATAAAGGATTGGGTTGTGAAAATTTTCGGGTTGGGTTGAGTAAAAAAAAAATCCCTCAACCCGGACCATGTACACCCTAGTTATTATGATTGAGCCACTAAAATAAAATGTGCACCTAATTGGTATCGGTAGAAACTTTAATTTTTTTAAACTTTTCTTAATCAACCTATCCTCAACATAGCTTTCACTGGGACGTAGTCTCAATTCATTCATATATATCTCCTTTACTTGAATGTCTCAATGAACTATTTTATATATTTTTTTTTCAAATGAACTTATTAAATGAAATCAAAATGAACAATCTCTTCAATAAGATGAGCATAATATTTCCAATGTCCCATTCTTTATTATTAGATGAACACGACTCTCCACAATGGTATGATATTGTCCACTTTAAGCATAAACTCTCATGGTTTTGCTTTGGGTTTCCCCGAAAGGCCTAGTACCAATGGAGAGAGTATTCCTTGATCATAAACCCATGATCATTTCCTAAAATAGGGGACGTGGGAGTTTCATCATCCTATCCCTCATAATTATTGAGCTTTATTTCTGTAGAATTACAAAATGAGATAGCATAGCAGCTTCTTCCAATTGTGTTAAAAGCTAACACAAGGAACAAACGAATCTTCAAACTGTTGTGCTAGGCATCCGCAAACCCATTATACAAAGCCATGATTCCATTAACATCGTCGTTGTCTAGGCCCGTCACAAAATTAGGAGGTGTATGTGGCCACATCACAGCGTATCTAAAGGCGCTGTGGCCCAGCCCAAGAACATGTCCAAGCTCATGCAACGCCACAGTCCCCACATCATATTTATAAGGATAAGCTCCATCCGCCCAAGCATGCCGCGTATTGAAGTGGAGTCTCCCATCTTCAGGCGCAAAAGCATGCGCCAATACTCCACTTCCCTCCACGAAAGGATACCCATCTCCATGATCTCCTACTTCGAAGCTTATTTTAACATCTGTGTTGTCCACACTACCTTCTGTGAATGTAAATCCAGTGACTGAACTCCAAGTGTTTGTGGCTTCACGCACTGTAGCCTTGTACTGTTCTGGAAAATTCCCAACAAATGCGTATTTCAGATTGTATTTGGACGCCCGCCATTTCGGTTTCGACTCACGGAAAAATGTGTAATCAATTCCTATGGAGTGATCCCAGTCCACGTCTCCGCCCCCACCCGTCTCGTTGCTAAACACGTCGGGAACTCCACATCGAGGCTGCGACATTAGCTCCAAAGTCTCCACATCCAAAATGCCACTCACGTTGAGGTTGAAGAATTTTTGGTATGATTTAAGGGCGAATTCCAAGTTGTCATCAAAGGCGTTGCCTTTGGTATCCACATTTGTGCTCAAGTAACCATAACGTTGGAGGAAAGCTCTGACGTTGTGGATTCCTTCCATGTTGTGGCCCTTCCCACTTCCTACAAGATGTTGGGGAAATATAGATGAAGAAAACTTGTGGGTGTGAAGATGGCGCGCCATGATGGCGTGAGGTGCTATGGCGGCGACAAGTATGAACATCAGTTGGAGACATGATTTCAAATCCATGTTCACGACAAGATAGAGACAAACTAAGATGGGTGTGTGATGAATATGGGTTGGAGTTTTGGGCCCTTTTAAAAGAAAATTGCATGAAGGAGAAAAACAAAACTAAGGTTGAGTTGCTATATGCATACATCAAAATTAAATAATTGCCAGGCATTGTCATGTTGGATGATTTCATGATATATAATTAAGACAGATAATGGATATAATTTATACTCATTTTAGTATGATATCGTTATGTATGGTGAGAACAAAAACTGTAACCGGCTAAGCCCAAACTCAAGTCCAAGTTCAAGCAAATATGGTTCTTTTTGGACCCAAGCGCGCGAGATATTATTCTTTTTGGACTCTAAGTCCACCCTCACCGCTAGCAAATATTGTTTTTTTCAAACCATAAGTTCATACCTACCTAATATTATCTTCTTTGTATTTTTTCCTTCGGGACTTCTTCTCAAATTTTTTGAAACGCTCTACTAGTAGAAGTTTTCACACCCTCATAAAAAAAATGTTTTGTTCCCCTCTTCAATCAATGTGAGATCTTACAATCCACTCTACTTCGAGGTTAGCGTCGTTGCTGGCACTTATTCTTCTCTCCAATTAATGTGAGATCTCACGGTCGAGTTGAATTTTTTTTAGAACTAACCAAATTATTCGGATTGTAATTGTTTCCATCCAAACAATACTGATGAAATAATGAACCCAACCTAATCCAATCGTAATTTTTTTTCTCTCTCAAAATAATTACCATTGAAAGTATCAAAATGTTTTTTTTTTTTTTTTTTTTTGGTTTATTTGGCAGAGGTGTGTCCTCCTCCCCGCCCACAGACCACTAGGGTTTGCAAAAGTTGAGTTACTACTCACTGGCCTTAGCCTTACTAATGAAGTACGGGAAGATGTGTCCTAAATTTACAGGACTCATTTGAGTTGAGCGTGACAGACATGTTTCTTGGACTACTCCATCGTAGGACACACCACTAAATAATGTCTCCATACATCTTTTCAGGGCTCTCTCAAAAATGGGAACTTCTCCCCTCTCCATAGGTTAGCTTCGTAAATTCTTAACAAAAAAAAAAAAAAAAAAAAAANTTTTAAGAGTGAATAAGACTCATTCCAATATACTTTGTTCTTATTTACATGCATCTCAAGAAAACTTTTAGGAGGTTACCTATCTCAAGTCCACCGTTAGTAAATATTGTCCGTTTTAACCCTACTCCAACTAATGCCTCACATGGTCCGGCTCTAAAGAGTTCAAGCCTATTGTCAGCAAATATTGTCTGTTACGTATCGCCGTCAGCTTCACTATTTTAAAACGAGTCTGCTAAGGAAAGATTTCCACACCCTTATAAAAAACATTTCATTCTTTTTCTAACCGATGTGAAATCTCACAATCCACCCCCTTTGAAGCCCAACATTCTCGCTAACACACATTCCCACCTCTAATCGACGTAGGATCTCACGAAATTGCACTAAATAAAACATGTTTAACCACAAAGTTCCTATGATTGAACCACTAAAATGAAATATGCACCTAATTGGTATTGGTAGTAACTTTAAATTTTTTTAAGCTTTTTTTTAGTCAACGTAACCTTAAAATAGCTTTCATTTCTTAATTCATTCACCTACGTCTCATTTATTAGTGTCACACTCAATGAACTATTTTATATATTTTTTTCAAATGAATTTATTAAATAAAATCAAAAGTTTAGGCATTTATTATTATTTTTAAATATTAAGAATTTATTGCAAAATAATAATATATAAATGGACCAAAATTACATCGGATAACCAAATTCTTGAACTTTAATTTGAATCTCGAGCATCAAATATTAACACAAAAATAAAAAGTATGTTACTTGGGAAAAAAAAACATATGTGAAATGTATGTCATGTCAGTCATTGCTTTGAAAGTAAACAAAGAAAAAAAGTTATTTTGAAGCCATAAAGAGAAACATGTGAATAATGGCATTGTCTTTCATGAAAGGTTTTCCACTGTCTCCCTTAAATGATAACTTCTAGAGCGTTGGACCTACATGTCCACCATCTTTCCCACGCCCCCTCCTAAACTTTGAATATTATGATACACTATTTAAAATTAATCATTCAAATTTTGAATCCGAACAAAATACATCATAGAGTTTTTTCTAAGATTTTTGCTAGACTATGAACGTCGTGAGATAGTTTGGTCCACAGAGATCTTAGATAGCCTTCCCTTAATCGAATCTCAAATCATTCTCTCCGGCCCACGAACAAAAAAATATAGTATTTATTACTTATGAGCTCACGTCCTTCTCCTAACCCATACTTCAAAGATTGTTGTTATATAAAGCTTTAATGCCTGCAATATCATCGGCATGCAAACCCTTGGAATCTCCTTCCGGGACTGATGGCCACATGATAGCCCCTTCAATGGAGCTGTGTTGAAGCCCAAGAAGATGTCCGATCTCATGCAATGCCACCGTCTCCAAATCGAATGAACCCGAAACCACCCCAGCCGCCCAAGACTCGTCCGCGTCGAGATGAAACCGACCATCCGGCGGCGAAAACGCATGGGCTATCACTCCTCCAACGCCGTCGAATGGATAGCCATCTCCATGATCTCCAGTTTCAAATCCTATTTTGATGTCAGCAGTTTGGTTGCTCAAAGCTTGTGAGAAGGTGAAGTGAGAATTCGCCGCCCATGTCGCAAAAGCTCGAGCAATCGGACTTGCAGTTTCCGGTGGAGTTTCGGGGAGGAACCCTAGTAAGAATAATTTATTAGTTGAGTTCTAAGTTGATTATGAGATAGTGAAAGATTTAAGTTTACCATAAATGAGGTGAGATTTTGAAGCAGGCCATTTAGGGTTTCCTTCAAAAAATGCAAAGTGAGAAACTGTATGAAAAAGGCCTCTTCCATGTCCATGTTGATATCTTTTCTTGCTTGATCTCATCCAAGTATTTCCATGGATGATATCGGCAACCCCGCATCGAGGCTTCGACATTTGAGCTAGCGTCACGGCATCTAGAGCTCCGGTGACTTTGAGATTGAAATTTTTTTGGTACGTTTTAACGGCCGACTCTAACGATTCGTCGAAGTCATTGTCAATTGTTTCGGAATGAATTTGAACATCGTTCAAGTAGCCGAAATGTCGAAGGTATTTCTTCAGCTGATGGATGCCTTCCAGTTTGTCACCTTTCTGGGATCCATGAAGGCGATTCAGAAACATCAATTGTGATGGCGGTTTTGTGTGGGAATGCACAGAGTTTGGTGGAGAAGATGATGTTAAAGGGAAGAGGGTAAGAAGGAGAAGAGTGAAAGTGAAGAATGATAAACCTTCTAACGCCATATCTCACTTCTCTTCAAACTAGGTTGGGTGTAATGGTTATTACAAGTTTGGTGGTGGATGAAGAAAAGTTGTGGCCTTATTTATACTTTTTCAACAAAGGAAGAGACTGTGGGACTCATGGAAGAGAAGACATTATGATTACAGAAGAGTGTGAAAACTTCTCTCTAGTAGACGCGTTTTAAAATCGTGATGTTGATAACCATACGTAACGGGTCAAAGCAGACAATATGGTGAGTTTGGGCGGTTACAATGGTATCAGAGCCAGACATCAAACGGTGTTACAGGGAGGATGTTGGGCCTCCCAGGAGGTGGATTGTGACATACCACATCGATCTTTATCGAATTTGAATATCATAATAGTGAATATAGTCATGATTCAACAAGTTAGGTCTACTTACTTTTTATTTTTTATTTTCTTGAATCTTCATAATTGATTGGAATAATAGAAAATAACAATATTTTGGAATTTAAGGAGACCGACTTATAATGATTGATTACTTAAAATTGAATCTATCGAGATAATAGAATTAGAAGGGCTTGAAAACCTCTCCCTAACCAGGCATTTGAAAATTGTTAGGCTGATAACGATACGTAACGAGTCAAAGTGGATAATATCTGCTAACGGTCAAATTTGAATGAAATACTAATTATCATCCTAAACGTTAATAATTAAACCATGTTCCAAGAGATGCAGGAGGTGTCAAATTCAGATTCTAAATCTTAATTTAAATCTTAAACCGTTACATATATTTGAAAGACTAAATAGACGTTGAGGAGCGGAAATGTATAAGTTATCCATGGAGAAAAAAAAAAGAGGTTGGAGGGTACGTGTAGTATTGTGTTTGAAGAAAACAAGTGTTGGAAGAAAAGGGTTAGTTAGTTAATTAATGAAATCAGTGGATAACGAGAAAAGGTGGAGAAAATTGAAATATGAAAGAACAAATGGGGAGAAAGTTAGGCTGGAAATATTGAAGCACCGAAGCCGACAAAGGCTAAGAATTCAAATATGTTGCATAAAACCACGTCAGCTTAATGATCATTTGAGGCTTCAAGGGGTGGGTGTAACAGTAATTAAACGTTTTTTCTCTCTTTTTGTTAGTCCTCTTTTCTTGGACAACCAACAATAACAGCTTCCTTGTCAAACTTTTCAGCTTCATGAACACCGTTGGGATCCAATTTTTTGTGACATGATCATGTTACGTGAAAGATACAACATGGTGACCATGTTACTTACTCTTTACTTCTAAAAGTAAAGGCTATCCGCACAGTCCAACACGAATAATTGTAACATGTTTTGTTTTGTTCTCACACACATATATCATACGAAAGTTCTGGAAGATGCCCCTCATTTTGTTATTTAATATTTCTTCTATAAAAATAGAAAAATCATATCGTATGTAACACATGGTGAGATGAATAAAATGTGAAATGCAAGGTTTGAGTATGGCCCATATTCTAGAAATACATGTGAAAAGAATATGAATGAAATTTGATTATATGAGAAGTATGCATAAAAATTAGATCAAATTTGGTGGAAGAACACATGATGTGGGAAAAATAGAAATATCAAAAAGAGAAAAAAAGGTCTCAAATATATTTGGAAAATAATGAAGTGCTTCCAATTTAGCGGTCTTTATCTTTTGTGGAGAAATTATTTTTAAAAGTCTTCAATACTATGTA